AGTAACCCCCAGGCAGCTGCTCCCAACGCCCCCAGTGCCACCAGTGCTCCCAGTACCCCACATGACTCCCAGCCCAGTGCACTCCAGTAACTCCCAGTAATCCCCAGCCCAGCTTTCCCAGTATCCCCAGTCCGAGGAGGCTGGGAGATCCTCCCCAATTTAACATGTTAATTATTAATTAACTAATTGGGGGAGGGGGGGCCTTGGGTAAAAACCCCCCTGAATTTGGGGCAAAACCCCTCGAATTTGGGTCAAAACCCCAACATTTGGATTTTTAAAAATTTCCTCCAAGTTGGATTAAAAAAAAAACTTCAAATTTGGATTAAAAAAAGGCTCAGATTTAAAAAAAAAAAGCCCCAAATTCGGATTAAAAAAAACACCTCAAATTCAGATTTAAAAAATTATTCAAATTCGGATTAAAAAGCCTCAAATTCGGATTTAAAAAATCCCCTCAAATTCGGATTTTAAAAAAGCTTCAAATTCGGATTCAAAAGCCTCAAATTCAGATTTAAAAACCACAATCCTGAAATTCAGATTTTTTTTAAAAAAAAAAAAAAAAAAAAAAAAAAGCCTCAAGTTTGGATTTTAAAAAAGCTTTAAATTCGGATTTAAAAAAAAAAATCTCAAATTCAGATTTTAAAAATTATTCAAATTCGGATTAAAAAGCCTCAAATTTGGATTTAAAAACCACAATCCTGAAATTCAGATTAAAAATTTTAAAAACCCTCAAACTTGGATTTTTAAAAAGCTTTAAATTTGGATTTTAAAAAAAACAAACCCTCAGATTAAAAAAGCCTCAAATTTGGATTTTAAAAAGGCCTCAAATTCAGATTTAAAAAAAAGCCTCAAGTTTGGATTTTGAAAAAGCTTTAAATTTGGATTTAAAAAAACCTCCAATACAGATTAAAAAAGCCTCAAATTTGGATTTTCAAAAAGCTTTAAACTTGGATTTTCAAGAAGCTTTAAACTTGGATAAAAACCCCCTCAAATTCAGATTAAAAAAAGCCTCAAATCCAGATTTTAAAAAAGCTTAAAATTTGGGGTTTAAAAATTTTAAATTCTGATTTTAAAAACCCCTCAAATTTAGATTAAAAAAGCCTCAAATTCAGGTTAAAAAAGCCTCAAATTTGGATTTTAAAAAGGCCTCAAATTCAGATTTAAAAAAAAGCCTCAAGTTTGGATTTTGAAAAAGCTTTAAATTTGGATTTAAAAAAACCTCCAATACAGATTAAAAAAGCCTCAAATTTGGATTTTCAAAAAGCTTTAAACTTGGATTTTCAAGAAGCTTTAAACTTGGATAAAAACCCCCTCAAATTCAGATTAAAAAAAGCCTCAAATCCAGATTTTAAAAAAGCTTAAAATTTGGATTTTAAAAAGTTTAAATTCTGATTTTAAAAAACCCTCAAGTTTAGATTTAAAAAGCCTCAAATTCAGATTTTAAAAGCCTCAAATTTGGATTTTAAAAAGGCCTCAAATTCAGATTTAAAAATAAAGCCTAAAGTTTGGATTTTCAAAAAGCTTTAAACTTGGATTAAAAAAAACTCAAATTCAGATTTAAAAAAGCCTCAAATCCAGATTTTGAAAAAGCCTAAATTTTGGGTTTTAAAAATTTTAAATTCTGATTTTAAAACCCCTCAAATTCAGATTTAAAAAGCCTCAAATTTGGATTTTAAAAAGCTTTAAATTCTGATTTTAAAGAAAAAAACTCAAATTCAGATTAAAAAAAGCCTCAAATTTAGATTGTGTAAAAATTAGTCTTTTTTTTGGGGGAAAAAAAATCACATTTTGGGAAACTCTCCCCTCAAATTTGGGGAAAAAACACTGAAATTTTGGGGAAAATTAAAAAACAAAAACAAATGAGATGTTTCTGAACCCTCCTCAGATTTTGGGTAAAACCCTTCAAATTTTGGAAAAATGCCTCAAATTATGGTTAAAACCACCTCACATTTGGGGAAAAACCTCTAATTTGGGGAAAACCCTCAAATTTGGGGAAAAAGCTTTTAAATTGGAGAAAAAACACCTTGATTTTTGGTTAGAGAAACCTCAAATTTGAGGAGAAATGTTAAATATTAGGGAAAAAAAATCAATTTTTGTTTAAACCCTCAAATTTTTGCAGGGGGAAAAGCTCAAATTTGAGAAAAAAAAACCATCAAATATTAGGGAAAAATCTCAATTTTTTTAAACCCTCAAATTTTGGGGGAAAATCCTCAATTTGGGGGGAAAAAAACCCTCAAATGTTGGGGGAAAATATCTCAAATTTGAGGAAAAAAATATCAAATATTGGAAACAATCTCAGTTGTTTTTGAAAAACCCTCAAATGTGGAGGAAAAACATCAATTTGGTTTTTTTCAATCCCTCAATTTTGAGGGGAAAACCCCCCTTTTTTTGGGCAAAACCCTCTTTTAATTTAAAAAAACACCTCAAATTTGGGGCAAAACCCCTTAAATTTGGGGGGAAAAGCTCAAAATGTTGAGGAAAACCAACAAAACTCTCCAATTCTGGGAAAAGAAACCCCTGAGTTTTGATAACAACCCTGCAAATTTGGGTTAAAAACAGAAATACCTTGAATTTTGGATTTTAAATAACCCAAAATTTTGCTTAAAACCCCCTCAAATTTTTTATAAATGAAACTCTTGAATTTTTTGTTTAAAATTCCTCAAATTATGGTTAAAAAAAACCACCAAACACCTTGAATTTTCATTTTAAACCTCCTCAAAACCCTTGAATTTTGGTTTAAAGCCCCTCAGTTTGGTTAAAAGGGAAATAATTGAATTGTAGTTGAAACAAAAACCTAAATTTTTGCCTAAAACAAAGTTTGAATTTTGGTTTAAAATCCCCTCAAGTTTTGGTAAAAAAATTCTAAGCTTGAATTTTGGGTTTTAAACCCTCAAATTTTGGCCAAAAAAAAGGTAAATATGGAATTTTTGTTTTAAAAAGCCCACAAAATTTTAATTAAAAAATTAAAATCTTAATTTTTAGTGGGATATCCTCAGAAAATGTAAAAAAAAGGGGAATTTTGGTTTTATGAATCTTGAATTTTCATTTAAAACCCCTCAAGTTTTGTTTCAAAAAGCAAAAAAAACCTTGAACTTTGCTATAAAAAACATCAAAGATCGGTTAAAAAGTGAAAAAACCTTGCTTTTTTGTTTTTAAACCCCTCCCATTTTGGTGAAAAAAAAGGGAATAAACTTGAATTTCCCTTCAAATTTTGGTTAAAAGGTGGAAAAACCCCTTGATTTTTGGTTTCAAAACCAGCAAATCCTGGTTCAATCCCCTCAAAACCTTCCGTTTTCTTTAGAACCCCCCGCAAAAGTTGGGACCCCGCGGGGTTTGGCTCCAAATTCCACTTGGGAATTCCTGGGTTTTCCACCCCCTGGTTTTGGTGTTGGGATTTGGGATTTTTTTCCCCACGTTTTTTTGGGGGCTTGGGTTTGGTTTTTGGGCCCCGATTTTGGTGTCGCGGGATCAACGGGACGTGCTGGGATTCGGTTTCGTTGCCACGTTTCATTCCTGGGCCTGGATTTCCTTCCTCATCCCATTCCTGGGCCTGGATTTCCCTCCTCATCCCATTCCTGGGCCTGGATTTCCCTCCTCATCCCATTCCTGGGCCTGGATTTCCTTCCTCATCCCATTCCTGGGCCTGGATTTCCTTCCTCATCCCATTTCCTCATCCCATTCCTGGGCCTGGATTTTATTTTCCAAGCTTGGTTTCTGGGGGTTTTTTTGCAGTTGGAATTTTTTTAATTGTTGTCCTTCCCCAGGTCCTGATTTTAGGGCTTGGGTTTTTCTTTCCACAGCCAACTTTTGAGACTGGATTTTCCAAAATCCATCCTGGGGCTTGGAGTTTCCTCCTCATCCCCTTCTGGGCCTGGATTTCTCTCCAAATCCCTTTTTTTGGGCCTGGATTTCTTCCATATCTTATTTCTGGGCCTGGATTTTCCTCTAAAACCCATTTATGAGCTTAGATATTTCTTCACATCCCATTTTGGGGCCTGGATTTTCCTCCACATCCCATTTATGAGGCTGATGTCTCTCCAAAACCCATTTCTAGGCCTGGATTTCCCTCCACATCCCATTTCTGGGCCTGGATTTCTCTCCAAATCCTTATTTTGGGCTTAAGTTTTTTCTCCACATCCCATTTCTGGGCCTGGATCTCCCTCCATATCCTTATTTTGGGCTTAAGTTTTTTCTCCACATCCCATTTCTGGGCCTGGATCTCCCTCCATATCCCATTTCTGATGTTAATTTCTCTCCACATCCCATATCTAGGCCTGGATTTCTCTCCACATCCCATTTCTGGGCTCGGATTTCCCTCCACATCCCATTTCTGATGTTAATTTCTCTCCACCTCCCATATCTAGGCCCGGATTTCTCTCCACATCCCATTTCTGGGCCCAGATTTCCCTCCACATCCCATTTCTGATGTTGATTTCCCTCCACATCCCATTCACGAGGTCGATTTCCCTCCTCATCCCACTCAGGGCCGGCGTCCCCACGTCCCGACGTCTCCCGCGTTCCCGGGGCGCTCGGTTCAGTCGTCGCCGGGTTTTTCCGCCTTCCCGCCTCCGGTGGATGTTTCCTTCCCCCCTTCTCCCCTCCCTCCCCCCTTTCCCCGTGTCCTATTTTTGGATCTGGAATATAAAAAGGCGGAGGTTGATGTTCTTGGCCGCCAGCAGTTTGTTGCACTCCACGGAGTCGCGGATGGGCAGGGGCAGGTAGTCGGTCTCGGCGCTCTCGTTGCTGAACACAAAGTGGTAGATGACGGGGCGGATGCGGACGTCGTCGTAGGGTCCTTCCAGCAGGAGGAAGGAGCATTCCAAGGGGGAGCTGACCTTGCTCTTCAGGATGAGCTGGAAGGAGAGGGTGCGCTTGCAGGACAGGTTGGGGTTGCGCTCCGAGTCGTTGACCCGCGCCTTCAGCACCCAGGTCTGGTTCAGCACCGTCAGGCGCGGCGTCTCGTAGTACAGGCGGGTGATGAAGTCGTCCGTGCGGTACGGCCTGAACTGCACCTCTGGTGGGGCAGGAGAAGGGGAGCAGCAGTCAGAGGACACCCCCCCGTCAGCCTCCTGGCCATGGTGGTGACTCAGGTTGGGGC